AAAAAAAAAGCTGTCTTACTTTGAAAGAAGAGACCAGCTGCCACTAGCAAATAGCTGAGAAGTTCGTTGTTGTACTCCAAACAGCTTCCTCTGCCGCTACACGTCTCCTCCCACAGGATGCATGTCTTGTCTATAAACGCACCGAATATAACAGGACCAGGCATAGAACCAAACATACACAGAAACAACCACTGCAGGCCTAGAGCGTACGTCCTCTGATTGTCTGGAACACATCTGAAAAACAAGGAAGTCTAAGTAAGAAACCTTTTGACTGAGCCCGCGATATCAGGTACTGACGTTGCTAAGCAACATGACGTCACCTCATCGTGATGAGCTTAAGGAGCAAATTTGGGCACGTAAGCAAGTGCAAGTGCAAGCTCTTAATTGGCTTGACGGGCTAGTGAGAATCATAAGTTCTTCTCGTCACTGATTTTTGGATGTACGGTCCCTCCACTGAGGAAAACGATGGCGAGAAATAAAACAATGCTAAGCTCAATTTGCAAAATTTATCATTATAGACTCCAAACCAGCTCAGGTTAAAATAGGACTGTTATGAGCGGTTTATAGTCTAACCAACACAAAAATCAAGTTCAAAAACAGTGCACAAACAAGCACAAATAAAAGAACGATGTGGAACAAACACCATCAGGGCTGCCATTAGCGATAGACGCACCTACGTAGGCCATAGCCTATATTAACCCACAGTCACTTCGGCTGAAAAAAAGTGTTCAAAGAAACTTATCAAAACTCACAGCAAGAAAAGAGCTGAAACACAACTAGAACGTACAAGAACCCACCTCAACACGACAGTTTTGTTGGGCGTGGCGTTCATAAAATTGAAGATAAGCAGCACAACAGCGCCGAACAGAAATGGAACCAAATTCTTACAATCCCGGTCACACGTCCCCTGTTTGGCTGTGCCGTAAGGAAGAGGCTTCTCTTGAGACGGTATACAACGACAGCTTTCATACACCTGCGGCAAAAATAAACACAGGAAAGAGTATAAGCCCAGTGGCGTCTTTCATTTTTGTTTTGTTTTTTCGTCCGTAAGACCACCACCGGCCCTGACGGCTTTTCCAGATGACCGGGCTTAAACATGAAAAAGATTCTGTGCCTGAAAAATGCCGAAAAACTTAGTTTGTTGATTCCCCCCGAAAAAAGATCAAGATAAATGCCACTACAGGTCAAACGTAACTAAGTGTAGCTGGCTTTATCAGAGGTTGTGCAGTGAACTTTACCTCTTTTCTTCCGTCCATCTTTCGTATCGTGCATCCAGCGTGACACGGAGAGAAGTAGGACAACTCATCGACTCCACAAACTGGATCATAGTCACGGCTATTACAGTGACACAGAGAATTACATGGAGCAGACTTGTTAATCTCGGTCAGTGTTCTGTAAAATAGTGCACTCAGAGTTAACAGTTAACAGGCTACTATATGCGAAATCAAAGAAAAGTAGAAATATAAAGTGATGAAAACACCTCAAAACGCAAGAAAAACGTCGACAAAATTAAAATTAGAAACCGAAGGAGCTTCACAACCTATCCATTAACGAAGAAATAGCGAACTTGTGCCCTGTCACCTTCCAAATTTTCAAAATTGAAAAATCTATTTTTAAGGAGATATTATAAGTCAAGAAATGTTCCAACTCTTTATGGCAAAGAATGATACTTTCACTTCTCCTAAGAACTGCATTGCCAAGCAAAGAGGGAATGATGGATGGGGCCAAACAGAGTGGGTATGATAATAACGAAAAACATCAAAAAGAGATGTGACCCTGATGCACTACCAAATTCTCTGCACTAATATCAAAAGGGATGTATGACAGGAAGTAAGGAGAATACGAACTTTGGTCAGAAAGGTTCTTTGTACCTGTTGTTGTATGGTTGACTGATCCCAGCAAGCAATGTGGTCTTACAGCCGGGAATGAGAAATGTTAGCACAGCCCAAGTGCCGATGAACTGGAAGATAAAGCAGTACTTGGCGGCGATTTTACACGAACGTCTCACATCGACCCTCTTGACCAGGTAACTCCCCAGGAAAATACCGCCCGCGGTCCCTGGGATAATCACGATGCCAGAGAGGATTCCTAGGGAAAAGCACACTTAAAATGAGCCTCCAACACGTTGGCAGCCAACCGATGATTTGACTCGTCACGCAACGTCGCAGCTGATCTGCAGCTTTTATTAACGTCACATACTCGTTGTGTGACAAATTTAGGTGCAAAGAAGATTATTTTCGGAGCACGTCACGAAACTAGATGCAGTAGAACCCAGCCTTTCGGCCACCCCGTTCATACGGCCACCTCGTTATAACGTCCACTTTATTCTGGTCCGAACAAATACTCAGTCAGTCTTCGTCTTATTTAAAGAACTCCTTTAATACGGCCACCCCGTTAATACGGCCAGATTTTTATGGCCGTTGGTGACTGCATTAATGGGTTCCACTGTATTCCAAGTCGGCTCATAGTAAAAGGAAAACCTGCCGTACTCACATAAAGGTTCATATAGTATTCTCGGTGGCTGCTCTTTACTAACCTGCTGTAGAAGAGGACTTGCCGAACTGCGACTGAATAAACTTAGAGACGAACGGCCCTAGTCCTGTGGCGATGAGCGTAGTACAGCAAAAAGCACAGGTGTTTAGCATGAACGTTTTGTTTGTCAGAATGGCTTTCGTGGCTGGTAAAATATCCTTTAGTCGTCCTTGGATGTGCTCATCTCTAGGGGGTAAAAGTCCCTCCTTTATCGCTGTCATTCGTCGTTCTCGGGCCCCTGGCATCTCTTTAGGATAGCCAAGGAGAGCTATTGAGGTACATAGCAGTAGAAGTCCCCCGAAAAAGTACCCTAGCCACCAGGCCCCGATCCAGCGGGGATCATCGGGAGTCAGGTCAACTCCAGGAGGCTAGAAGAAACAGTTCCAGAAGAGTAAATAAATGGAGAAATACATAACTTCTGTTTAAAACAAACTGCTTTGTTAGGAAATGGAACCCAAGGGAGACGGTAATTAAATATAGAGGCTCTGAGACCAGCAATACCGGTATGGGAAGCGGATAAAAGTGGATAAAGTCGTTCAAAGGTTTTAGACGCCTTACCTGAATGAGATCTACCCAGACATTCAGAAGCGACCCTCCTGCTACGTAACCAATTCCAGGGCCGAAAAACGTGGCCGTAAACCACACTCCAAGATACATGGGTGCCACCTTGGGGTTCACATTCTCATCAATATACGCCGGACCAAGTGTAAACAGGGGCGTGGTCCCAGCACCTAAGAGAAGCTTAGCTCCTATAAACACAAGCATGTACTTCCAGGCGGTATATCCTTTGGCTTCTGCACATGTCTCTTCGTCCCTAGGTATTCCAGTAGTGTTGAACAGACACGCGTCTCTGGTCCCAGCCGTTTCAAATTGAAGAGGGGTGTACTTGCCCACCAATACGTGGGGCAAGGCGAACAGTAGACATCCTAAGCTAGTTACCAGGGCTCCTATGCCTAGCCAGCGCGCTTTGTTCCTGTGGCCTCCAAAGTAACTAATGAAGATGATTAGAAGAAGCGCGGATACGTCATTTGCTGCTATTATCATACCAGTCTGCTTGCTGCTTAGTTTGAATCTCTTCTCGAGCGAAGTGAGACCTGCAGCTGTCAGCCCTGTGGCAATCATTCCTAAACAGAAGGGGAAAAAAGTCTACCTACATGAGAATTTTACTCTACTCCCCCCTCCCCCGATGCCGTTTAAGTCTTTTATTCCCCAGTATTTTGTCTGAATGACCTAAATCCTAAGAACTCAGTATAAAAGTCTGTATACAAGCCGAGTGGCCCATCAGGCCGGCGCTTATCTCCGGTTTCTGTAGCACGAAGCGACTAGGAGTATTTCTACTCCTCCCTGGATAGGATGCTAGTCCACCGCAGGGTTATCCCCCGGCATTAAATTTGCCGGTACACTTTCATTCACCTGGGTGGATTAAGCTCTGTGAGAGTAAAGTGTCCTGCCAAAGAACACAACACAATGGTTCGAACCCGGAGCGCTTGATCCGGAGTCCAGCGCACTAACCATGAAGCCACCGCACGCAGTATATGTTCCTGTGTATAAATAAATTAAATGAAGTTGGAGGATGAGAAGGAAATTTCTCTTACCTTGCATGAAGGAGTAAAGAGTAAGAAACACGAGAAACCATTTTGGCGAGTTGAGTTTCTGTAGGACTTTAGGTCTGAATGATCTCCACCCACACAACAGATCTCTCTCGTCAGGCTTGACGTCGTCGTTTTGCATTTCTAGCGGTATAACTCTACAGCATATACGTCAAACAACTGGAGAAAAACATGACCCTGAGGGAAGGAAAATTATTACATTAACATCAATTTAAATAAGGTGATAACGAGATTAGAACTAATCGAAATTGATAACAACAACGCCCTGGATCTTTGGTAACCATAATTTTTTTCGGTTTTCTTTTTTTGTTTGTTTGTTTGTTTGTTTTTTCTTTTTGATCCGTCATTGTTCATGTATGCGACGAAATGTTAACACCAGCCCAAGACTACCAAATGGAGGTTGTTTCGTTTTCCTGTGGGCAAGAAACAGTGTGAACGCACGAAGCGGCTTTCTTAGTGTAGCGAAAGGTATTTGCGCGGAACTGCGCGTATAGGGAAGGATGCGGACTACCAGCTTGGACGTTGTTAAATGCACGGATAACGGTCGGACAAACTTGGCTAAGTTACGATAAGGTAAAACAGCGATCAGAAATCTTAATTCTCGTTACATTGATCAAAGCTTTGTCAAGCAGACACTTGAGGAGAATAAAAAAAATCATCAAACACCGGTTTTGTCCTGATGTACTAGCGAATTCTCATAACAATAAATTACAGAATGTACGCGAATCAGTAGGAGAATTTATAAGTTGACAATGTGACTGAGTTGAAAACACTGATTCCTGTGTGGAATTTTTCGAAGACCATTGAGAGATTCGACCGGTCAAATTGCCTGGGAATATGGACCACATTTTCTCGCACTTTTCTTCTAATTGCCACTGATACAGAACGATTGTTCATCCAAAATCTGCACAGGTACTTTGTCTTTGTTTTCGCTTGTTATTTCAAAACAGCCAATAAAAAAAATTGGTCCTTTCATTTGTAGGACGGCTAATTAGTCTAGACGAATAATTCATCACTTGTATAAATTCTCGGGCAATACACTGGAAATAAAAGGTCGAGATATTTCACCGCGTTGTGTCGGACGTTTTTCAAAGGACGAGGAAAATAATAACAACAAAAATCAAATCCGCAAGCTTTTGGCAGATGCCGAACTATTCTTGGACGCGAATAATCGAAATAATTGACAGCAGAGACAAAATATGGAGCCCACACTTAAGAAACCAATTAGTAACCGAAATTAAAAACACGATAGTACAAGGTTCGATTGAGTGTAAACAAAACGACGGCTGGGTGAGGCGACCGGCGAATGACATACAATATTCTTTAACAATATTTTATGTATTTGAAATGATAGAAAAGAGGACTTTGCTTCGAAAGGGACTTGAGTTTCCTTCCATGACAAAAATGTAGTAAATTAATCTTTTCAATTCTGGTTCGATGAAATCAGACGGTATTGAAAATGAAAGTTGTTACTGATAAAATTAACGCGACAAATTTTGGAAGTTGACAGTTTTGAAATTCAATTTTGTTCTGTGTAGTCCGAATGATTGTTCTTCGGCAAAAACACGTCATCTAAATGCGCTGGGAAAATTGAAATCGTTCCTCGCTTCCCACGTTATTCAGTGCAAACTGGCTTCTGAGTCAAGTGCTCATGTACAAAGCTTCTTTGCGAATATCACCTATCTAAAACTGCAATACAGAAATTTGCAATCACAGGGTCTCACCTTCGAGAAGTTTCGCGTTGGAACCACATGCCAGGGAACCATATTACCAGCATGGCCAACAGAATTACAAAGAGAAACGCTGATTAACGACGGGAGAAAAGCGAAAAACAACACCAGCTGTAACGCCGGGATAATATCAAAACTTTGCGCTTATTGCAAGTCACAAAATGAAAACAGTGGGTTAACCT